TGTTGGGGGCCACGAGGTACAACAACCCGTTCCTCCTGGGCTGGAACAGGCACCACAGGCACCTCCGGTGGTGCAGCTGGGACAGGCATTGCAGGCACCTCCGCCACCTCAGCAGGAGGGGCTGGCACTCTGCCTTCTGCTCCCTCTTGACCATTTTCATCCGGAGCCCTAGGCCGCTTCCTGGGTAACATACGATAAATACGTGGGCGACAAACCTTACCCTTGGCTTTCCCTTTGGCCTTTGCTTTGGCCTTGGCCTTTGCTTTGGCCTTGGCCTTTGCTTTGGCCTTTGGGTGCTGCGACGTCTTGATGGCTTTCCAGGTTTGATGCACCCTTCGAATTCTGCGTTTTTTGACTGCGTCTGAGACCATTCTAAACTCCTGCTTGTCCTCAGCAAGCAGGTCGTCAAGAACCAGTTCATCAACAAAGTCTCCCATGATGATCTCATCCTCATCATCATAATCTTCCAGTACATCTGTCACTGTCGAATACATAGCATCGATTTTTTTCAAGAAACCCATATCTTGCGGAACCACATGAGAAGCGATCAGGCTCATGAGTTTTGCACGACGCATTCGTTGCAGTTCTCTTCGTTTTCCTTCGTCCACTGTTTCAGTCAGTGAGATCACATACTCGGCAAGATTCTGGCAGTCTGCAAGAGTCCGACATGCTGCTGACATTTCCCTGAGTCGAGTCAGCAAAAGTGAAAACAACAAAACCTATCTATTAAATTATTAGTTCATTGAGTGTACTAAACTAGATCGACTCATTATGCACCTATGGAACGACATAATCCTAAATCAAAACATGTCACTTGGGATGAAGCAACATCCACTGTAGAAGTGGCTGTGGGTCTTTGGAACAAAGACGCAGGCAAATGATGCCATCCCAGAAGACTGCCTCTGTTTCCAGGACTTCCCAATACTGAGGCTCATACAAATGGACCCAGCAAACCTTGACTCTGTCACCGTCTGGGCACTCTGCCTTCAAGACAAAATATTTCTCCATCGTCGACGGGTCCTCACGCTCGACAACTGGCCACATGAGAGCAGCCCAGGTTTTTGCCCCAAGAGATAGGTAGCATGTCTGATCCAATGCATGCTTCAAGATCTTCAGAGGGGGCGCAAGGCTGCTGAACTTCCCAGCACGTAAGGGAACCTGCCAAGATGCTAGTGCTGCATCATTGTAGTGATTTAGCCATGACCACGCAGCTGACGCTCGTTCGAGTGTCTCTTCTGACAGAGTGTTCCATGTCTTGTCACCGACAATCTCCGTATACTTTGATGGCAGCTTGTGGACACATGATCTGAAGCACAATTTCTGGCGCTTGCTGTGCACGTTCCAAAACTCCCTTTCAAAATATTCCCGTGTGACTGCTGCCGGATGCCGGATGGAGCGGCTTTCAAAGACCTTGGAATTCTCAATCACAGTTTGGATCGTGGAGTATGTTTGCTTGCGGGTTTTGTTCAACAACGAATCATTGCGAATTTTGTTGTGTACATCTTCCACAATCTTGGAATCTGGCAGCGTCTGCACCAGAACACTCAGCAGGTGGGTTGCAGGGCATGCTGGCACCGGGATTGTTACAGTTCTGCGAGCTGGCACTCTGCCTTCTTGCTCGTCCAAAACTATGCCACCAACTCCACGACCATCATCTGCTTCTTCAGGCACAGAGTCCTCCATCTCCACGTCCTGCTCTGTGTCAACATCATCCATGACAACGTCTTCTGACCCCGGAGGCGCAACTTCGTATCCCTGCGCCTCCAATGTGTCCAGGAAAAGTCTCGAAGGATGGCTGATTCCAACTTGCAGGTCTGTGAAGAGTTGTCGGGTATGAGGACTTGGAATGGACTGCGACAATTTGGACTCAAATCTCAAAAGTGATCTGTGATGGCGCTCTGCCTTCAAAGCTGTGGTCTTCCGAATTTCTGCATCAGCTGACAGCAATCCTGCATAGGCATCTGGTGGAAGTGAAAAAAGACTGGAAGTCCAGACCCTGTTCATCAGCAAATGCAAGCTCAACATCATGATTTTTTCTGCGGGCTCATGCAGATCAGTATCGAAATGCTCCTTCCACAACTCGGTCTTCTGCAGGTTCGAGACCATCTGGATCAAATGATTGTCTGCTTTCCAGGCATCACCCACTGTCATCAACTCAGTGTAACCTCGACCATCCTGTGGCGATTTCACATTCTTCACCTGTTTCCCATACCAGCACCACAATGGTTCGGTCACTTTGTACAAAATCTTGGAGTGATCGAAAAGGTCCTCTGTCATGAGATAGTATGCCAACTTGAAGCCCCCCATGCTGGATTTCAACAAGCTCAGTTCTTTCCGTGGATCTGTGGCACGACCAGCCTGTGTCAGCTTTTGCAAATCACCCAGTGCATCTTCCTGTCCCTCAGCATCTGGCACTCTGCCTTCTGGTTCTGGCACTCTGCCTTCGAAGAGCCCCTGGCCTGGGTTCGCCGAATTGGAATGCAGGCTGCGTCTTTCCCTTGAGCACGGGCTGAAAGACTGATCTTCACCGAAATGATCAGCCAGCAGCATTTTGAGGACATGAAACTCGTGAAGTTGCTCATGACATAGCTGGTTCCAGCTGAACCATCTGGATGATTTCACCAGGCTGCCCTTCTTCATGAAGGAGTCGACATCTGCAAGCATGTTTTCAATCTCATGCTCGTCACCGGATAGTACCCTGCCTAAGTCAAAGGCAATCTTCTCCCGAAAAGCGTCCCACAACGAGCTGGTACCCGGTGATGTGGTGGAAACAAACTTCTCCATCATGTCCTTCTTCTGCTGGTGGAAACCACCACTTCCGAAGGGTTTATAATTCAGGGCAAAGATGTAAGAGGAGTGAAGTTGCACACTCAGGAAGAGTCCTTTGAGGCATCTCGACATGCTGTTCTTGAAATCTCGAATGGCCCTGTGAATCTTGTCACATTTCACATGAACCATATTGTCACACATAGCATAGGCCATGCCAGCAAGTCCGATGCTGCCCTGGTCAAGGCCCAAGACCAGAATTGGAATGTTCAACCACCACTTCTCTGACTCTGGCAACACAGGGAGCACTTTGGTGATTTCACCATCCTCAGACATTGTTCTGAGAAATGACACATAGGGAAAGGCTGCTGGCACTCTGCCTTCTGGCACTCTGCCTTCAGCCGGATCCGGATTGTCGACCAACCACTGACGACAGCTGCAAATGTCATTGTTTTCTGGTCCAACCCGAAAAGTCACCCTGCTTTCATGTTGTGATTTCACAGGCCTTTGCCCAAGAGAGGGGGGGATCTGAAAAGAGCTTAGATCCATTCCCCCTTTGTGCAAGATCGAAATTTGGTGGCTGATCGCCTGAAGCTGTCTGAATGCAGCAATCCTTTCCAATTTTTTTCGTTTTGATATCTGAAGAAGCAGGTTGTCGTCAAACAGGTCTTGTGGAGAAACGGGTCCAGTCTTCATCACTTGCATGGGTGCAAACACTCCGGCCGAAATCTCATTCGCCCAAGCCACTGTCACAAGACAATCACTGGTGCTGTGAGTAGACCCATCGGCGATCAAGTTGATTTGTCGACAGTGCTGCATAGCTGTGATAGCTCTCTCTTGGTACAATCGATTGCTTCGAAGCTGCCACTCGTCACAGCTGGACTCCGGCACACCTGAGCTGACAAGTCAAAGAGAGACTCATGTCATGCCATGAAANNTTCTGAAAGCTACAGTCAAACGAACAAGCTCAACACTCCGGTTATATTTACTTAACAGGCAAGTCAACACAGTCACAGCCATGTCACAAGAACGAACGGCCTCCCGTCTTCGTTCGGAACTGTCTGCGACCGGACAACAGGATCCAGGCACGCAGACTTGCCCCAGCTGGCACATTAGCCCATTTGTCCAGCTGTCATCTACCCCCTGCCCTGGGGTAGGTTGGCCTCAAGGCAAAACCGAACGCCTCACACCTGGCCAATGGTGTGCGGAGGCACCCCGATGGGGCAGGGGTCACCTCCTCCGGTAAGGCAGCACTTATTAAAAGTTCGACTGGCACTCTGCCTTATGAACAGCCCTACCACATGCAAGCACAAACAACGGAAGAAAAAGGAGCAATGGCNNCACAGCCCTGGCACGTTGGCCCCAATGCGGTCCGATGATGCCTTCAATGCACCTCTATGCCTCACACCCGGCCAACAGTGTGCACGGACCGAATGGGCTGTCGAATCCGTGTGGGTCCGGCGTTTCAAACAAATGATGACGTTGGCACTCTGCCTTATTATGAACAACCCTACCACATGCAATAGCAATCTGCAAAGCTCTCCCACGATGACAAGAAAGGCATCCCTTCCTTGCACATGCAAACCCAAGCATGACAACGCTCTATGTCTCACAAGAATAGCCTCCCGTCTTTGTCCAGTATTGCTTCCGGTGACTTGCATGACTGCTTCGATGTCACCAGGTCAGGCGCCCCAGCCGGCACATTAACCCATTTGTCCAGCTGTCATCTACCCCCTGCCCTAGGGTAGGTTGGCCTCAAGGCCCCGACAAAG